TTGGTACCGGGGATTGAACTCGGGTCCGTGTGCTTGCAAGGCAGGACACCGAACCGCTGAGCTAAATCCCCGACAAGGTACACCTTTAGATACACTGGTCATGCCAGAGTACGACGTTCTTCCTCTTTTTTCTGTTGTCGCTTATTTTGCACCTTATATGTTGCGTTTCTCAAGTAAGAGAAACCATGACATATTTAAGCTCGTGTCCCTGATTTACTTCGCTTAACGCTACAGTCTCAAGGTGCATCCATTTTCCCACAAAGGAGTCAAGTTTTAGCTTTCACGAGACAGTAGCGCTCCATTGTATACAAACCACATTTCCGCATCGGTTGATGGACACATCCGCTGCTGTCAAGACCTGTTATAAACTATTACAGGCGGGGCCACTGTAAACACAGGCTCGCAGGGCTCACTCTCAGGAAGGGGAATGACCAGGGAAAACAGAACCTCCATCTTCCGTCTCCCTCATTTCCATAGAGGTCGCACCAGTCTACGCTCCGACAACAAAGAGTTGCCTTTTCCCCAGTCTATCCAGCACCTGTAATTTGCTTTCTTGAAGATAACCATTCTCTATGCAGTAAGGGGAATCTCAGTGTTGCTTCAACTTGCATGTCCCAAATGGCCAGTGATGTTGAACAGCTTCTCCTATTCATGGGCCCTTTGCACAGGGCCTGCCTGCTCATTGAAAACGTCCATCTTTAACTGGGGTTTCAAACTGGAGAGTTGGTTCTGAGTTCTTTATACAGATTCCAGATATTAGTCCCCCGCCCGATGAGTACCTGGCGAAATTTCCCTCCCATGCTGTACATTGTTTCCTCACTCTGCTGGTTTCCCGTCCCGCCAACCTTTCCGAGCCGTTATGCTCCCATTTGTTGGTTCTTGGTATTAACGCTTCTGCAACTGGGGTCGAATGTTCCATTTTGCAGACGAATGAACACAGAGTGCCAGGCACCGAGGCTCTGGAGAGCATCCGTCCACCGCTGGCTTAGGAGGGACGCTAGCGGTCACGCGTGCCTCAGTCGGACTCCACCTCTCACTAGCACAGTGACCTCGCACAACTCACTTCATAAATCTGAACTCGCTTTCTTCATTTGCTATGCGAGGATGATGAGCATCTTGGCAGTTTTACGAGACTGTACTTCAGACGCAGTGGCTGATGTATCAAATTCACCCACAAAATGGATTAACAGGAATGAGGGTACAGCTGGGTAACAGCGCTCTCGCCTAACAAGCACAAAGCTTGGGTTCAATCCCCAGTACCGCACAGAGAGAGAGAGAGGAAAAAAAGCTATGACATTTTCTCTCTTTCTTGCTATTCTCACTGCCATCATTGTATTTCATCATTTATAAAATAACAGGAGCCAGAAAATGTTACCTTTTAAGTCTTTAAAGCAAGGGACCTCAACTTTGCAAATTAGAATCATGGGTTTTTTTTTTTTTAAGCCTACTCTATGATGAATCTTCTCTAACAAATTAAAAATCAAACTGAAAGACTGCCAAAGTCATACATTAATGTAGCAAAGTATTTTAAAACAATCCAAGTGATGGCAAAGGAAGCAAGGCTGAAGACCACTGTTTTAGACTCCAGATTAACTGCTGTACCAACGTGAGACTAAAGACAGAGAGAATGCTGCTGGGTTTTTGGTCTCAGTGGGACTCTGACCATCATTCAGCTCTATTTCTTAATTTTTGCAGAGGAGGAAACAGAAATTAAGACTTAAGTAATAGTCTAGCATGCATGCTAATTTCCTATCATGCATGAGCTCTGTGATCAATCTTCAGCGACACCAAAAAAAAAGAAAAGAAAAGAAAAAAGAAAAGGCAATTTCCCAATTGGGTATAAAACCAGTTAGCTCTTGGCCAAACCAGAAGAACCTACCCAGATTTCTCAACTTCTGGTTAAGTGTTTTTTTCCTGTACAACCACCATTGAAAGATTGTATTTGCTCACGTCCAATACCTGATAAGTTTAATACAAAAAGAACAACACCGATCCACAAATTCATTACTACTTGGATTTTTTCCATACAAGATACGAAAGGCAAGGCCAGGGACTTAGCTCAGTGGCACAGTGCCTGCCTGGCAAGTGCAAGGTCCTGAATTCGATCCTCACTACCAAAAAAAAAAAAAGGGCAGCCCGGCATGGCTATAATCCCAGCCCTACAGGAGCCTGAGCTAGAAGCATTACAAACTTGAGTCCCACCAGAGCAATTTAGCAAAAACCTATCTCAAAATCAAAAATAAAAAGGGCTGGGGATGTAACTCAGTGCAAAAGCCCTGTATTCAATCCTCTATACTGGGGAAAAAAAATACATTCATACATACAAAAGTCAGGTCATTTCTGTACCATTCTCCTTACACTAACAGTGCCGCTCATGGTACTATCCTAACAGAATCTTTTTCTTTTTGGAGAGAAGAGAGCCTTCTTCTCTTGGCATGATCTATTACCTCTGCCTAAAGACCTTAAATTAAGTTGGAAGTCTTTTGGTAAATCCAACTAAAAATTTAAGGTTAGAAGAACAATTATTTTCTGCTGTTAAGGTAGCACTTAGTCTAATGAAGCTTAAACACAACTTGGATTCCAATACTTTTTTTTTTTTCTTTTCTTTTTTTCCAGCGCTACAGACAAAACTCAGGACCAAACCTAGGACCTTAGGAATGCTAGGTAAGCACTCTGCCACTGCACTACACTTATTTTTCATACTATGATTATCTGTGGTATACAAGGAACCACAAGGAAAAGTAAGCAAGCTGTATATAAACCTGACAGGGCACAAAAATAAGTTTATCACCAACCTATATTTTAAATTCCAATCATTTCTGTGGATTACTAAAATAAGAATGAGCAAAAATGAGTCACATAGAATAAAAGTGACAAGATAAAGACAAACATGAACTTGTATGTAGAAAATGAAAGGAATTTATTAAGAACTACTAAACTGGTGAGCAACTTTACAAGATACAAGATCAATTGCATCCCTATATACTACAACAAAAACTGAAATCAAGAAAATGATTCCAGGAGCCAGTGATGTAGCTCAGAGGCATTGCACCTGCCTGGCAAGTGCAAGGTCGTGAGTTCAATTACTACAGGTGAAAAAATAAAAAATCCCATTCAGAAAAACAAAAAGAACATATCTGGGGAAAAATTTAATGAAGATGCAAGACATACACTGAAATTGAAAAAAGGCCGGGAGTGGTGGTGCATGCCTGTGATCCCAGCACTCGGGAGGCTGAGGCAGGAGGATCACTGTGAGTTCAAGACCAGCCTGGTCTACATAGTGAGTTCCAGGTCACTCTCAACTACATAATGAGACCCTGTCTCAAAAAAACCAAAAAAGTGAGGGGTGAAGGGAGGGCAGGGGTTAGGGGAAAAAATGAGAATCAAGACCTGCCATGTAGAGGTACAAGATCCCAACAATGAATGTAAATATTGTATCCCTAAAATGTACCAATAAACTCAATTAAAGCTGAAAAAAAAAAACCCCAAAAAAGAAAAAAAAATTGATAAACAGTTTTAAAAGCTTACGTTCACAAAGAGACTATATTGCTAAAATGATCACACACCCCAAAATGATGTATAGATTTATACAGTATCTACCAAAATTGCAACTGGCTCAAACACCTGCCTAATATTCACAAAGCCCTGGGTTCAAACTTCAGCACCTGGGGGGAGGGGGAGAGGATGAAAGGCTTTTGTAAAAATTGTACACGGGAAATGCATAGGACACAGGACAATTAAAATTCTCTTAAA